ATACATATAACACAAACATCCTACTTTCTTAGCAAAAGAAACACTTGATAGCTGAAAATCAGAAATTCAATAAATACTTCCTTTGGAAATAATGTATATGTCTGCTTTTACCTTTTTTGCTTTCCAGGACCTATTTTGTGTTTGAATATGAAAAAAAAAGTATTATTTTACTCTAAGACATATAGTTGATATGAAGAACATAAATGACACTTTTACAATAGATCAACAATCTGCAACAGCATTATACAGAGCTTACCCACTCTGAATCACACAGGTAAATTATGTAAGCAATCTTTACCAATGCTAAGTATTGAAAGACTTTGGACATGACTTTTACAGGCACTGGCTAGGGCCCATCTAATTCAGTTGAATTAGTGTGAAATTATCTTTTAATACCTGCCTATAGTTTGCATGTAGCATTTGCTCTGCAGGTTTCAACAATGCCATCTTTCCTAGATTTCCACGTCTAAGTGATTTTTGTTGGAAGACAGGGAGAAACCTAGTTAATAAGTGATTAGTATTATAAATAGCTTGCAATTAGATAAAGTGTTGCTGCAACTTGCAAACAATCTGAACTTCATAAATGGTCCAGACAAGTGGTAGTTTATTTTAGATAAGAACTAATAGCCACAATAAACACATGATCTGAGATGGAGTAGAGGAGCTAAAAGAAAGGAAGTGAAAGAATGCCAAGCACCAAATAAGTTCTAAGAGAAAATAATAACTACAAAACTTTGTAACGGTGAGATTTCTTTTAGATACTCTCCACTTTTCAGTTGAAAGAAGCAAACTAAAAAAAAATTTCAATTTCCATAAGAAAACGTATATGATTTGTATCAGGTAATCCCATTTTTATTTATTTCAAAGTTCTTAATTCATTGATTCAACACATATTTATGCAATAAGCACTTGTTAGACTCTGGGAATACAATGCTGATCAGCTCCCTGTTTAATGGAATTTAGGTTACGAAAGTGACGGATAATAAACTGTCACGTAAGTAAATGTAGTACTATAAGCTGATTAAAGGCTACAAAGGAAAGACACATGATGTTGTAAAAGAGTTGGTCTCTAAAACAGGGTTAGAGAAGGCCTTCCTGGTGGTTTAGTGAAGGTCGGAAATCTGGGAGGGATTTAACAAGGGATGACGATGAGTCAAGCTCATCACTGTCTGCATCACTGAAATCTTGATGAAATTTAACATTCAGGATACGGTATTTCCATTAACACTTAGTCCAGGCCTTATGAAGTACTTGTACTAGGGTTGTTTTCTGGGAAAAAGAATTCAGGTGTTGATGAGTCTTAAGCAAGATTGCCCCTAGCAAAGACCACAGAGCTCTGCTAAAATATTGCTAAATTAGGAGAAATTTAAAGATTTTATTGGCAGTGGATGGTATAATTACCACTGTGAAGAGGAAGCATATACTTCTCTAATCTCTGGTTTTGAAAATGTTGACAAAATCCGGTCTGAATTGCTGTGAATAACTCAAAGCCTTTGAAAGGCAAGAATTTCCAAGATGATTATTATTTCAGATCTAATTCCAGAATACATTAATTTGTTTCATTTTTCGTTTAACCCACAGCATGGCAAACATCTGCTGAAAATACCTGCTGTCTCCATCTGATATATGCCAGCTGAAAAGTAAAAGACTCTCTTTACTCTAGATGCCCCTATTCAAGAGAAAAACATAATCTGGATAGATGAACAAAATCTAAAAACTGACCAAATGAGACCAAATCTATCAATCTGGGTAGACACTGGATATGTTTTTTCTGTCATCAGAAAAATGTATTTAGGAAAACACTAAGGAAAATACTACAAAGAGCACACGGAAGCAAAGAAAAAAGTTATTGTTAGGAGTGATCTGGAAACAATCTCTTTGGGGGTTTTCAAGTGGGATGGAGAGTGGGACTCAGTCTTGGAAGTCTTGATGGCTGGTAGTTGGTGGCAGAGCTGAAATTATAACACAGGGCTCCTGCCTGATACCTGGCAGTGCTTTCCTAGACAAACATGCCTTCCTGCCATCATTCTCACAAGGGCTTCCCTAACCTGATGTGAACTTGTATGTTACAGTAACTGCCTCCAGTTAGGGGACTCCTAATTCAGGCAGGCTACTTTAATTGTCCACAGAGGGCAACTCTGCTAGGATAATTCAGCACCATTTAATAAACCATCTAGACCAGACACATCCAATTCATAGCCCACAGGTCACATGTGGCCCAGGACACCCAGTGATGTGGCCCCACAAAGTCTTTTAACATCACATTTTTTTTTCCTTCGTGAGCCCATGCGTAGTTCCATTTTTGAAGTTCACAATCACACCTTATTCATGACATCACTTTTTGGCAGCACATACACTGGTGAGTAGCTGTTTTCAATTACGAAGCACACGAAGAGCAAAATTCAAACACTTCTGACACGCACCTTGACAGCTCACTAAAAATTATTACCACTTTTATCAAAACAGACACTGATAGATAAGTTTTACAAGAACAAGGTTAAATTTTCCACAACTTTTGTATCTCTTTTTCTAAACTTTATAATAAAAAATATTAAAAAAGAAATCTTACTATGTATATACACTAACTATATTATATAATTTATGCATGGACCAAGACAATGCCTCTTTACTTCATGTGGCCCAGGGAAGCCAAAAGGTTGGATACTCCTGGTCTAGACACTTTTGGTATACTACATGCACCCTCCTCATGACTTGACATGGAAGAGAGTAAAAAAAAAAAAAAAATCACTTCTCATAACTAGATTGTCAAAGCTAATACTAAATAAATAGATCTACTATATATTCGTGGCATTTTATATAAACATTCTACAGCAAATAGACATTAAAAAGTTTATCAACTAGCTTTATTTTGCTAACATTACATTATAAAAATAAGTATTTTTGTTCTGTAGTATCATACATATAAAAACAATGCTAAGTGTAAACTAGATGGAGTATAACTTCGAAGTTTCTAATTTAAAAAGGTACAAATGCTAATTTACAATCATTTTATGTAGTTATTACAGCAGAATGCTATTTAAACCTTAGATAGCATTTTCTTCAAGTTCTATATTTCAGCCAGCTCCATAAAAATAAATAAAAGTCACTGATACATTAAAAGCAGATTAAAAGTTAAGACTGCACTAACTTTTAAATATGATTTCAAAAAGGAATTAAAATCTATTAAAATTGCCTAGTTGAACCAGGTATGTACAATTTTTGAGTGCTATTAGTTATGAATCTCAAGAGTCAAAGTCAACTGAGTCAATAAAGAAAAAAACCAAGATAGGAAATTTTATTCAAGTTTTAATTCATAAAATGTCTCTATTTCTTGCACGAATAAAATGGACTTGATAATACTTATTAACCCAATTACAGGAAAGCACAGGTGGAGACCACCAAGTAGTCAATTATAAGGTTTGAATACATTCATAAAAGAAATGTATTATACTATTTTCACGGTATCCATTGCTTAAATGAAGTATTTTGTCCTCCAAACTTCTGTAGATTTAAAAAGTAAATTTGTGTCATCAATAGTGGGTTGCATCTAGAGGCCTTGAAATAATTGCAAAATCATAGTAAGACTACACAATGAAAATTCCAGTATGTTGTGACATATTTTTTCTTATTCCACTTCAAGTTATGATGATCACGTACAAAGTAAAAGCTTTTACTTGTTAGCTTTGAGTTAAAAAAAAAAAGTCTATTCTGATTAATACAGACAGCTAAAACATCCTTAAGCATGCAATCACTTAAACAAATTGCAAGACACTTTCAGGAACACTTAGGATTCAATATACCATCTTCCTTCAGAAACAAAATTAAACATTGGTCTCTACCTTTAAATCTCTATAACAAAACAAAGTGGAGATTTCAATGAATAGTATTTTAAAATGTGTTTCTATCAGTCCTTTGGTAAACAACACAAAAAATGACATGCTAAATATAATTTATGCATGGCCCAAGACATGCATAAATTATATTTAACATGTCATTTTTGTATTAAAAAATCTTAAAGGGTAATGTTCATTCATTGCTACTCAAAATTTTCATAATCACATGTTTTTCACAAGCATGGCAAATTTCTAACTCAAAGGATTGTGAAAAACATTAGGATTTAGATCCAAAGTTTGCTGTTGTCTTTACAACAAGTTGTTTTCCTTTTTTGACATGCCACTAACATATTGAAGTCTCTTGCATTTCAGCAATAAATATTAAATATCACTTTCCTAGTTTGGCTGATCTTTGAGAAAAACATTACAGTCAGTCCAGAGGGGAACACATTTTGTTTGAAAATTTAGACCACATGCTTCAGTTACCTACCACTGCTGGTAGTTTTTTACAACAAAGAGAGATAAATTCAATTTAAACTCAATGATCACATGTAATATATCTGTGGGATGGAATTCAATTACAGTGGCCTTTAAGAATTCTTTTACTAAGTTTTCAAGAAAACTTCAAACACTTTTAAAATTCGGCATGAAGTCAGAGCTCTCTGCTATACACTGTAATCTGACACTAGGCTGAAGAAGTTGACCAAGTTTAAGTAACCCAAGAGGAACTGTTTCCTGCTTTCTGTTAGAACACTCTACAATGACCTATAGTAACACTGCTGAGGCGGAGGTTACTAGCGGGCATTAGACATTGCTGCTATCAGGAAGCCAGTCCGGTCTGGTGGTTTTTCCTTCTTTCCTTTTTTGGGGGGGCGGGGGCAGGCTGGCATTTATCTCAAGTGTCTGAAAGAATTCAACCCTGCTCTCCTATTAAGTTTACAAAGACAAGAAAACCCCAAAGAAAGAGTCAGAAAATGCACGAAGGCCAACTATGCGGCTCCCTCTTCACCCCCAAAACAAGGGTCGTACGTTGGAAAATGTAAATTATGAAGAACTCTGTCTGTCTCAAAACACATTTGCCTGCAAACATCTCTGGAGAGGTGCAACACCCTCTTCTAATTGGAATCAAAGGTCTATTTGACATTGGTTTATTTTAGCTCACTTTACCTAGTCTGCTCCTGTAAGATGAGATGAGGCTCCACGAAGAACTTGACTCTCAGTTTAAGCCGGTAAGGAGCTAGCCCATCCATCTGCTGGGAGATCCGGTTTCTCAGATTTAGCCATAAACTTTCACCTTTGCTACCCGTAAATTGCAGTCCAAAATAATCAACTTCTATGATTCCCAATCGCCTGCACACCTAAAATAAAAATGAATGCAGCAAGGATGAGCAAATTGTTCATGTCAAAGCAAACACCAGCTCCATCTGAGACTGACTGCTGCATACTTTTTAAAAAAGTTCAACAGTGTTACAATTCCTGATCCAAGCTGGAAAAACAAAGTTCTATGGCTCCATTGATCCTAAACCGCGAGCTCTAGTATGGAATCTCGTGTTTCCTTTAATATCTGGGACATGACCAATTGCACTAGAGGAAAAAAAACAGTCCCCAAAAGATGCCTTCCAAAAAGGTCGAGGAGAGGAAACTACGGGGTATTTTCCTTCTTATTCCAATCACCGGAATTCCCTCCACCAGCACAATCTGCAAGGCTGATTTGGCGGCTTATTATATGGACAATTTTAACCATCTGGACTCTAAAAAAACAAACACATTGAGGGAACACGCCACAAGTGTCAGCTAAGCTTCACAAGCGGTTTCCAAACATCTCAGGTCTAGAGGGTTCGAGGGCACAGCGTTTCCCTGGGATCCAATCTGCTGTCTGCCATACCGGCCATGCACTATTTGGAACTATTCTGCTGCACTCTTAGGGGAACACATGCTTAAAGACATCCAAGCAGTAGGTGACCCAAACCTCGTCCTCTCGCCGCCCGCAAAGCCGGAGATGCAGGTGCCTGGTCCCTCTGAGAGGCAGCTTGAGAAGCAGCATGAGACAAGGGCCGGGCTTGTCTGCTAGGGAACCCCGGGCCCCGGGACTGCTTCGAGCCACCCTACCCTAGGACGCGGATGGCGCTGCCAGGCGCCACGGGGCCCCGACAGGCGGCATCACGAAGACACCTGCGGCAGGTGTGCCGGGCCGCCTGCTTTCGGACAAGTGCCGGGTTGGGGGCTGGGGGGCAGACCCCGGCGCCGGACGCCCCCGGCGCTGGATACCCCAG